CAGACCCCACCGGATCTCTCATTGCCATGTGCTCTCCATCATTACCCAATAATGGAGACCCACCTAAACATGCCCTCTTTACTCCATTTTCCACACCAGTCTGCAGACTCTTTTTGGGTAAAGTATAACGGCAGCTGCACCCCAGAAAAAAAAAAAACCAACATGGCGCCTAAGGACCTTCTCTTCCTACTTTCCCCTTTTTTCACTGGCACGAAAAGCTCCCACGGGTGTGAACTCTTCCACCGGTGCCAATTTCAAATCTCGCTGGTGGGGAACCTTAGCCCCAATAAGAACTAATCCCTGGGCTCTGGAGCTGATATCTGGAAGAACTTGCCAATAAACGGGTGGCCCGCCACTTATCTAAGCCCTGCTATCTATCCTTAGATCTATATAAGCACACAGCCTTTTGCAATAAAATTGGAACTCTCCTTGGCGAATTGTCTTGGGTGGAGGATTCTTTAAGTTCTCAAAGCCTCTCTCCACTCTTTCTTTACTCTGACTCCCCGGGATAAAGAAGTGATACAGCAAACTACAGCCTCATGTCAGATATGCAAAAGAGTGAATTCCAATACGACTTTAAAGCCTGGAACCTTCCCTTCTCATCAGGCTAGGGGCCATATTCCTGGGGCAGATTGGCAAATCGACTTCACCAACATGCCCAGAGTAAAAAACCTCAAATGCATACTAGTTTTAATAGACGCATTCTCGGGTTGGGTAGAGGCCTTCCCCACCTCAAATAAGCAGGCTACCACAGTGGCCAACATCCTCCTAACCGAAGTAATCCCTCGGTTTGGGATGCCTGCCTCAATCCAGTTTGTCTCTCAGGTAACCCAGAATGTGGCAAAGACATTGTCCATCCCATGGCAGTTTCATTGTCCCTATCGCCCCCAAGCCTCAGGTAAGGTGGAGTGAGCCAACCGCACAATGAAAGACATCACAACGAAGCTATCTTTAGAGACTCATTTAATTGGGTTGAACTCCTTCCTCTTGCCCTACTTTGCATGAGGGCTTTACCAAAAAAGCCATCCCTTCCTTCTCCCTTTGAGATAATGTATGGTCGTCCCCTTCTCCCCCCAGGAATCTCATCAGAGCCTTGGCCCCTCTCGGTCCAGTATGCTCTTCCCTTCCTCTTCCTTATATGCTCTGAGCTATGGAAGCAACAAGATTTGATGCTTCTGGATCCAGAGAACTCAGCTGCCTCCTTTCCGCTCAAGCCAGGAGAATGGGTCTACTTTTCTTCCCCAGGGGAAAGATCCCCCCTAACCCCAAAATGGGAAGGGCCATTACAGGTAGTCCTGTGTACACCCAATGCTGCAAAACTCCAACAGGAAGGAAAGAAACTAACCCCCTGGATTCATATATTTAGGTTAAAACCAGCAGCAAGCCCTCCAGAGGACAATCCCACCACAGCTCCCAACCTTGCAGGACCCCCACAATCGCCCAGATTTACCTGTGAGATATCCCCAGATAACCCTCTCAAGCTCCGTTTTTTAGTCATGCACCACCCTTCATCCCATTCCGGAGAAGAACATACATAAGAATGGGCCTCCTGATAGGATCTAGGAACACACAGCAACACAGTACACCCACACCCTTTTTAGAAATCAGCATATGGCACAACAATCCTATTGGGACCTCTTCACAAACCCCATCAGCCACTGGATTCTCCAGATACTGGGACCTCTAGTTGGTCTTTTTGTTCTGTGCCTTCCTTCCTTGCATTTTAAAATTCCTTCAAGAACAAATTAACAAAATCTCTAATTAAACTTTCAATCAGCTCCTCCTCAGGGATTACCAGCTACTTGCCATGGAACCAGACGACATGCACATCCAGTCATCCCAAGAAACCTTCACCAAGTGCTGAAAGATGAAGATACCGAATGACAACTGCACAGAAGGGCCATGTCTACCCCTCCATGCCAAAGAAATAAGCCCTTGGTTTTCAGCTTTATGTTCTAATCTGCCTTCTCCTGGGCATAGGCTTTTTCTACCATCCCTACAGACTGGACGACATGCCAGAAATTAATGCTGTTTCTTTTCATAGTTGCAGGGCACATACATGGACTTCTCCCTGGAGGAAATCCATGCCTTCAGTGCATGGATATGGGGCCTCCTGGCCCTTCTCCAACCAACTGACCTCCCTCCCTCCCTCTAAACTACGCCCCTTCTCAGCAGGAAGTAGCTAGATCGAGTACTACGCCCCCAAACCAAAACAAAAAAGGGAGGAATGTTGGTAAAGATGGTGCCCGGAGTGCTTCTCTTCTGGGAGCTCAGGAGTATTAGTAAAGATGGCGTCCAGAGTGCTTCTCTTCTGAGAGCTCAAGAGTATTGGTAAACATGGCACCCAGAGTGCTTCTCTTCTGGGAGCTCAGGTCCATGACGCACTGAAGGCACGAGAACCATCACCTCCAATCCCTGTGAATGGCATGAACTTTGAATGGCGCACCTCCAATCCCTGAAGTGGCATGAACTCTCAGCCAACGAAGAAGTAACAGCCCACTTGCCTTGTTCCTCCTCATCCTGTTTTAAGCCCATAAATATCAACACCCTGTTTGTGTTTGTTCTATTACTCTTACTCTCTCTCCTCCCTCTCTTTTCTCTCCTCTCCCTTCCCCCTCTCCTCTCTCTCTCTCCCCCTCTCTTCTCTCCTCTCCCTTCCCTCTCTCCTCTCTCTCTCTCCCCCTCTCTTCTCTCTCTCTCTCTCTCTCTCTCTCTCTCTCTCTACCTCTCCTCCCTCCTCTTCTGCTACTGGCCGCTACGGTCCTGCTAATAAAATCTCAGACAGGTAAACAGTTGTTTTGGCTTGTTGATTTTACGGAGATTTTCCATCGTCCTTTACACCCAGCTCTTATTTTTCTATTTTTTAAATAAGTCTGAGGCCAAACAGTTTTTTTTCAAGTATTTTATTAGTTATAGATGGACAGAATGCCTTTATTTATTTTTTATGTGGTGCTAAGAATCAAATCCAGTGCCTCACATATGCTAGGCAAGCGCTCTACCACTGAGCCACATTCGCAGGCCCCAAACAGTTTTTATATAGAGATATTTTAACAGGAATCCAGAGGCTCAAACCTTGGAAGTGGAGTTGACAGGTCAAATTTTTATTTATATTATGAAATATTTCTGAGATGTGGAAAGAATGGAGAGTAAATGTATGAAATTATGAGCGTCGTCCTCTGAGGCTTCTGACAGCATTCCTTCATTCCCACTCCCGTCCCAGTCCTGGGTTGATCGTGGCCTTGTACTTTTCTATCCTTTTGCAGCAGGTATCCACACACAACTCACACAATGCTCACGTATTTTAAAACTTTGTAAATGGGCCAGGCATGGTGGTGCTCACCTGAAGTCCACTACTTGGGAGGCTGAGACAGGAGGATTGAGACTTTGAGGCTATCCTGGGCAACATACTGAGATCCTATCTCAGAAACAAAAATAGAGAGAGCTGGGGCTGGGGATGTGGCTCAAGCAGTAGTGGCTTGCCTGGCATGCGAGTAGCCCGGGTTTGATTCTCAGCACCACATACAAAAAAAGATGTTGTGTCCGCCGAAAACTAAAAAATAAATATTAAAAAATTCTCTCTCTCTCTCTCTTTAAAAAAAATAGAGCTGTCAACATTTCAAACACCAGTCAAGAACCACTGGGACTTCAGTAGCAGGCCTGAGAATGCTGGGTTCAGGGTTTTATTTTTAAACCTTTTTGCACTGCTGGGGATTGATCCCAGGGGTGCTTTATCCTTGAGCTAGCTCCCTAGCCCTTTGTATTTTCTATGTTGAGACAGGTTCCTGCTCAATGGCCCAGGCTGGCCTCAAACTTGCAATCTCCTGCTTCAGCCCCCAAGTGCCCACGATAACAGGCATGTGCCACCATGCCTTGCAAATCTTCACAAGTTTGTCGATCCTGTTAGGTTTAGGATGCGTACCAGGGTCATCTGGTGGGCAAAACAGCAGTTATGTTTGTTCAAGATGGCTTTGGTCAGTCAGGAGTGGTGGTGTACACCTGTAATCCCAACTACCTGTGAGACTGAGGCAGGAGGATGGCAAGTTCAAAGTCAGCCTGGGAAGTTTATCAATATAATAAAATAAAAAGGGATGGGGAGGTAGCTCAGTTGTTGAGTGCCCCTGGTTTCAATCCCAGTACTGAGCGATGCAAGGAATGGCATTTGGCTATGTAGACTTCTGCACGGGAAAACCTTGTGCTGGGGTTGTTGGAGTGGATAAGGAAGTGCAGGTTCGTCTGCTTTCACCACCTGCAGGGTTGCTTTGTATGACTACAGCAGGATCCACTTGTCCATTCTTTACATGCTGGATGCTGGGACATTTTGGTTTCTTGCTGGGAAACACTGGCGAGAGTCTTGTATAATCTCCTTCTTCCATTCATGAGCCCCAAGTAGAAGGGCTGTACTCTTGAGGTTCACACCTACTTAGAATGTCTGGCAACTGAGCATTTTGTGGGGTTCTGTACACTGGCTGTCTCCCCTTCCCTGGATAAAGCTGCTTCTCCCCTCTGAAGTTGGTGGTCTGTCTCTCCCAGTCTAAGGGCACTATGTTGACCAGGTGGGTCACCGCAGGGGTCACCCTGCCTTAGTTCTGCCACCTCTGCCCACCTGTGTTGCTGTGCAGGTTGCAGGGCCACTCCAGGACAAGACCCCAGATCTGATTCTCCTCTGACTGCACTGGACCTGCCCAAAGTGAAGGTGACCAGAGGAAGGTGTGGTCACCTGTAGCTGGAGGGATGCTGGGGTGAGGGAGCACTGGAGGGATTAGGGAGGTGAAGCATGGAGCTGGGGAAGCTGGAAGCAAAAGATTGTTTGTTTTATAGATGAAAACCTGAAGCTCAGAGATGGCAAGACACTTCCCGAAGGTCAAAGGGCAAGGCAGAAACTGTCAGCCTTATCCCTATTGTTTGGCCATTCATACATTCAATTTGCATTTACAAAGCACTTACTGTGTGCCATGCATTGTTCTAAGGGCTACAGTGGAAAACAAAACAAAGACGTCTGCTGGAGTGTGGAGCTTATTATTCTGGACGTAATTATGATGAATTGCTAATTATGTTTGCCTCAGAATGAAGCAAGGGGTGATCCTAATTAAGGGGGTTCCCCAGGGGAGCACCCATGAGTCAGGTCTTGTCCTCAAAGCCCCTATTTCTCAGTCATCCCTCTTTCCCACGGGTTCGTATTGCATGAAAGCCTCCACAGAGTGCTTGTGGGGACACCTTTTCAGAGAGAACCCGGGGAAGTGGGAGAGGGCGTGGCCTAGGAGGGTGGGAGGAGAGTCCTTTGTAGCAAGCCGGGCTGTCAATAAAGTTCTGTCGCCTTGGCAACCGCAGGCCCCGCGGGGCGCGGGGGAGGGAGGCGAGAGCGCGTTCCTTTTCTCCCGCCCGGATTTCTCCCTCTGGTGGCTGAAAAAGAAAGAGAATGGGGAGGTCGCGACTCAGGAGGGACCGGCGGGAGCCTTCGCCAATGGAGAGATGGCCCTTCCCAAGGTGAGCCAGTGACATACAAGTTCTGAAGCCGGCACCGTCCGCCCTCTTTCTTCTCGAACCAGAATAACCCGACCCCACCAGAGTTTCGCTCCGAGCGACCGCGCTTTCCTCCAATGAGGGCGTTGACTTGGGGCAGAAGAGAGGAGGAGGCGGGAAATGTCTCCGTGGGGAGCCGCTGACGGACAGCGGCGTGAGCCACTGGCAGCAGTTCATAGTGCTTGTTGGCAGGGCGGGCGTGGCGGGGTTTTGTCGGGGCACCGAGGGGGGCCGGGAGGGGAGGGAATGAGTGAGACTCGGCCAATGGAAGTGGCGCGAGAGCCAGAGCCACGGCTGAGTGGCGGTGGTTTTGTCCAATAGGAGGCCGTGGCGGCTGTGGGGGCGGGCCCGCGGAGCAGAGGGGGTGCAGCGACCGGGTCTG